TCAATATTTGTTAAATCATTATAAGGAATCCATTGAAGATGATTACTATAATGATATGTAGTTGCTTTAAGTTGTGTGCTTTTAATCAACTCATCTAATGTTTCATTGCCACTAGTCCATCCTTCAGTTAATAATTTTGGATCACATGATTGGCACCATGAAAAATTGGTGTTATATCTATTGCAGATTGGACATTCACCATACCCTTTATGTCTTTCATCAAAATATTCATCATTTTTGTCAGTAGAAGTATCATAATGATGTTTATTTTCATCCAAAATGTTTTCCATCATAATTTTGTCAAAAATTTTTTTTTCAGCCACAAATATGTATCACACAAAATATATTAATATTAATATTAATATATTTAGATTTATCTAACACTAAAAAAATTAAATTAACCTGAACTACAACAATTCAGCATTGCAACCTAAAGTCATAAAACTGTAATGAATATTGCAAGCGTGTGATCCAAGTTATTGGAGTCACTAATTATGGCAAACTAAATTAAAATCACTATATACAACTACATTGATTATGGTTTCCATTTGAATAAGGTTTATTTGAATTATTTGCTTTACTCATTATGAATTGAGTATTTGAATTAAATTGGAAGTTTATTCAAATAAAATGAATAGTGAATAATTCAATAATCCAAGTAGATAATTCAAATAAAACAAATAAACAATTTGAATAAAACAAATAAACGAATGATTCGAATAAATGAATAGTTCAAATAGTTCAAATAATTCAAAATAAAACAAATAATTCAAAATAAAACAAACAATTCAAAATAAAATGAAATTCAAATAAAATAAAAATGAATAAATAATTTGAAATAAATGAAATAAAAATGAATAATTTGAATAAAATGAATAATTTGAAGTAAAACAAATAAACAAAATAATTTGAATAAAACAAATTTGAATAAACAAATGATGACAAATTTGAATAATAAATGAATGATGATAATTTGAACAATAAATGAATGATACAATTTGAACAATAAACGAATGATGACAATTCAAATAATAAACGAATGATAACAATTTGAACAAAAATTTATGTTACAGTATTACAAATAGAAACTCTATTCTATTGCAGAGTCATTAATAATGTTCAAACTATACTAAAAAATCACCATATATAACTACACTACTTGAGGCATCCCTACAAGCAATACAGCAAAACTAATAAAAGTGGTCCCTAACTAATAATTAAATGTTGGCCAAACCATTAATCATCAGAAAGGGTTATGAATTAATCAATCATGCCAGATTTATCAATTAATGAAAAGTGTTATTATTGAAATATCAATTATTTATTTTATTGATTAATTTTTTTTCACTAAAGGAGATTTCAAACATATTTATACTTACAAATAACATGATTTTGTCCAATAAAATAATATAAAATAGAATGATAATGATGACTAATTGACAATTACTAAAGTTAAATGTCAAAAATGTGTCATTGATAATGTCATGATTAAATGATACCTGATGAAATGGTTTTGTCATAACTAATTAAAAATAAAATATTAGACAGAAAAGTATGGCAATGTGATTCTGGACACATTTATATTGCATCAACTCCATCCCATTCATTCATGGCATAGTAAACTTTGATGAACCTTTCTTTGAAGTCAACACACCTTTAATATGACAAGTTTCTAGATTATTTTTGCAGGAAAATCAATTAATTAGCTGAATAAACCCTGAACTAGAGATAAATCTGTTTTTCCTTTTATTTATCAGATCAACTCATGTATTTAACTTATCAAACAATTATACTATTGATCCAGAATTAAAAGAGAACAACAGTCATGATTGTTATATTTGTAGTCCTACTCTAAGCCTAGAAACATCATCATCAAATCCATCATCTTTAAATAGTGTTGGTTCTCAAACTCATACTAAAAATAAATAATTTATGAAGAGGAACTAAAAAAAGGAGTATTGCTTGAAAGTATTTCTTTAAATGAAGCTCAAGATGCTCAAAATCTTAATGATGAATCAACTCATCACAGCAAGGATTACTTGCTCTCATCACTCTTCTCATCACTTTCAATGTCTGGTTACTAGGTATTGGGGCAAAAATATCATCAATTCCATTGCATCTAACCTCCTCATCATGATATGTTTTCAGTATTTCACAAATCCTGTGGACATCACATATTGAAAATTTATGTGACCATTCCATATCAGGGATGAACATCTTGTCTTCTTGCTTTACATGACAATAGACATTGGGTGAGCAACAGGTTTTGTCTGATTGTGGCTGAGGGAACATGGTCCTCCAGTTGACGGTTACAATGATGTAATTTGATACTTCATGACCAAATTATACAATTTTTTTCCATAATGAAATGTCTGCATGGATTGTTTCTTTTTTTCATGTATGTAAAGCTGTGCATGTGGATCATTCCATGATTTTGAATACATCATGCTTGAAGAAATGCTCCCACTTACTTAAGGTTGCTTGCTGAAACTTCTAATTACTATCAAACTCTATTGAAATTCTAATGAACAACTAGTACATACCTTGTCAAAACTCTGATGATTGACAAAACCCCAAATGTGAAACTCTGCCAAAATTCTAATAAATGATTAAGGTGTAACCTGTCAAAACTCTGTCAATTGTTTTCTGGAAGAGTTTCACCTACAACTTTACACTTACCTAATTCACCATCCCAGGGTCCTTCTACAACTTGTTCTGTCATATTTCGGTAATGCAGGTAGATGTGCAATGGTGGCATGGTGTTGCCACTTCATGCAAGTGGGTCCATTTGTCTTTGGCCACCATTGAGTTGTAGAAGCCTTTACACATTTATTTCTTTTTAAAAAAGGGGACAAATTCGAAGGCAAGGTTGTGGTTTTTGATAGATGTTTGCATTTTTGGTGGCCAGTATCTGGTTCTAATTTTGAAAATTTCTTTTCTCAAGCATCAATGTGGCTAGTACCAACACAAGCAGGACCTAGCTATCTAATGAAGGTGTTATTTTTTAACGTATTCATAGTGTCCCTTCCTATTGGAGTAAACATCAAAGATTCCATGTCAGGGTTTCCAAATAAGACCAGAAGTTTGGCATTGTTTGATTCAACAAAATTCACAATCAGTATACTGTAGTTTGTGTCTGTTGGCTTTTTACTTGATAATTTAGGTATAATTTTTATTATATTTAAATTATTCAGATACATGTATTAAATTTTAATTTGTGATTCTTTTAAGAATGAGTGAATTTTAATTAGTGATCGGCGGGGCGCATTTGGAACATTTATAGTAAAAAGTCATCCAGTTCGCCTTACGTATCCTATCGTAACATGATGTTTCCACTTGCATTTTGTAAAACAAACATTTGGATATCAATAAACAGACTGTTATGAATATTTTTATCAAAAAAAAAAATTTTTTTGTTCAAGCTATTTTTGCACTATTTCAATCTTGATTGGAGATTATGGGTATAAAATCAACATAATACAAAATAATGGTTTGTCCAATTCTTTCTCAGCTGATTCTTTTTTATGTTCTCTACTAAAATGTGTTACTCATTTGCATCCAACTTACCTTCTTCTACTCTTTGTTTTAGATCTGTAAACATTTCTTATCTACATTTCTGACAAAAAATAGGCTCTTAGAAGTTGTTTTACTTGTTCAGACATGCATCCACTTCTACTATGTTTTCCAAAAAAATTTTCCATGGAGAGCCCAACCCAGTTCAAAGTAATTCATTTTAAAATTAAAAATTTTTAATTTAACATCTAGAAAATATTTATTATATTAAATTTTTTCTCTATAATGGACCATTTGGTTTAGGAAAAAATGTCCATAGACAATAAATTGGGCTTAAATTTTCAGTACATTATAAAGAGTGGACTGTAGAGAGAACCTGTTATAGACAATAATAATTTATATATAAACATGTAAATTGGGCTTTCCATCATTATTACATCAATTATATATAAAGTGTGAACTGTGTCTAATTCATTTTTTTAACTGATTTCATCTTCATTCCCAGGCATCATTATATGGCATTTTTCGTTTTGTATATTTCAATTAATATTGGATAGTACATTGTTCAACAATGCAAGGGAGGATATAAGAAAAATATTTATTTAACATATATAGGGTTTCTTCTCTAATCTGCTTTCATAATGTAAATGAGGAATGATTGAACCTAATGAAATTAAATTTTACTATTAATAAGGGTTGGTTTAATTTTTTAAAAATCGGTTGGAGATTATTGAGATATATGGATGCTTTTCTAGCAAAAAAGGGTTTTGACCTCATATGACCAAAAAAAATTTTTTTACATAATATTGATCTATAACATAAAGATTATAATTGGCAAAAATATTAGACCCTGTTTGCTTAATAAAAAAAATGGAGAATTCTAGGCCGGATACCTTTTTAAAGTAATTTTCACGCGATCTACATACCCCATTTTTTATTGTTACACGCAATAATTTAATTAAAAAATAAAATGTACGTTTATTTATTATAAAATAAATTAATGAATGTTATAAAAATACATATTGAAATAATAATAAATGAATAACAAATTAAATTTA